CCTTTCCTTCTTATTAAATTATACTCGTTGATGGTAAAATATAACTACTGCATTAAAAGCAAAAGACATGTCTTGGAACTGACACTTGGTATTCAGATATTACTACAATTCCTCTTCGCATCTGTGACATTCATGTATGAATTTGAGAGTCCCATCAAAAATAATAAAAATGTTATGAAATTTTAATTGGAAGTCAGAAGCACGTAAAATATAAAATGATTGAATATTATGGATAGCTGAAACATTTATATGAATTGTCTTCACGTTCACACTGTTCTTCACTTTCTAGCTGAGACTTAAGCCGAAGTTCGCTCTCCGAGAGTAACTCGTGAGTGGAAGGTATTTTGCGAGAAACTGTTGGACAGTCGCAAACAACTGTCGATTTCTCTCAAGTAAAAGGAGCACTGACAGTTCCCTCATGAGTGACTCGCGAAGACTCGCAGAAAAAACTCTCAAGTGGGCGCCCGGCTTTAGTAACTACACTGTTGATAGACTTTTCGTTTTGCTTCCAATTGAAAGATTCCTTTAAATAATGCTACTACGGGCCAGTGCATTTGAGAATTATTGTTTTGGTTGTCACAGATGTTTGTGTTGTTGCTTCACAACAGAGTAATTTTACTCTCGTTTTTTCCATACTTTGGACGAGATTTTGATTAACGGAATTGTCTTGCTTGTACGGATTTTATTATTATATTAGTCCACTGTCCCAAGGTGGCGCCATTTCAAATTTGGTTATGTCGTGGATATTTTCTATCAGGAAGCATTGTGAAAGATTACTTCCGTCCAATACATACTAATGAACTAGTTGATCCTTGGATAGGAACTCGTTCCGACACATAGCTTGACTTTTTTGACACTGATTAATTGCTTTACTAATAAACATCATTATCGTAAGTATAAACACTGGTCACTTCCTCGGAATCCTGTTTCCATCCATTAGTATCCTATAATTTCTCTCCGATTTCATTAAGTGTCATGTTACATTCTGAAAACATGCAAGTGCCTGTCGAACAAGTTAAACGTCCATGTTAAAAATGGATAGAAATAAATTGAAAATGAAATGGATTGTAGTTTTACATCCCAGTGCCATGCAGTGTGTCACAAACATCAAGATATGGTCCAATGGATTTTCAGTCAGAGCCTAGTGAAACCATTGGGAAAGAACAAAATGCCGCGACCCTTCTTCTATTCCCAGTTTAGGACCATTTATAAATCGAAAGCGTATGTTAATTATGCTGTCCTGGTCTCTTGTTGAACATTGCATGACACTGTATGTCTCTAATAAGCCAATACGTCATTAAGCATTCATATCAGAAATGAAAGGAATTGGAGTGATACATTCTATTTGTCTGCTCTTGATTAAGTTAATGAAAACGAATAAAACACTGCAATTGCCTTGAGGGGATATTTTACTATTTTCAATTCATAACCATTGGGCTTTTCTTTCATATTCATTGTCTGTAACCACATCGTTAATTATGTAATTATGTCCAGAGATATTTTTGTAACAGTTGTTTAATTTTTCAACCACGAGAAGGTGCTTATGAAGATATGCTTGCATTGAGATTAGATCGACGTTATATTAAGTACATGGTATAGAAATAAACAATTCATATCAGTATATCATATTATTAAATCCTGAATATTGTCGATTACACAATCCATGTAACTGCTTCCGCTGTATCACTTGATACATGCATATTTTCTGTCCGGAGCAAAATCACCAGCTGAAACCAACTTTGTTTTTTGAAGGTTCATCCTCAATATTATCACGAGATTCTAAGATATATCATTTTCATTAAACTATATTCTTATAGGGATATCGTGTTGCTTGCTTTTCGAAAGTTAATATGTCGACTGAGTTGGTTGAAGGTTAATAACTATCGAAATTGCTGTTTGTTGTGTCTTACTGATTTAAACTAACTGCGTGTTGGAAAATGATCTTGGGCTATTCTGTCAAGGTTGTAGTCATTGGAAGGTTTCCTGCTTAATCAACTTTCTACATTTAACAGGGAAATGAAATAAATGAAGCACTTAGTACGATCAAGCACACCTATTCTGATTTAGATAACATGTAGGGTTTCTCTCTCGTTAACGTCAATTTAAAGCCGGAGAATTTTTCTACAATTGTACATTTCATATGCCACTGTTTCATTACATCGATTTGGTAGATAAATTTCTTAAGTAATTGACTTCCTTATTTCTATTTTATGTTTTTATAGTGATATCTACTAGAATATATGACCCGTGTGTATAACATTATTACGATAAAATTTGATCCCACTCAATTTAAGAATTTTTTGTGCACTGAAATATTCACTTCATGGGTTGAAGTAACGTTATATTCAGATACAATTGTAAATAGATAAGCTCTTCATCGGTGGAAAAGACTAGAGTTTCTAGTGTTGAAGATGTGAAAAAGGTGCGACTGCTCCCAGCATATTATTCCTTTAATGAAGTGTTTCTAAACTGGAAATTGGTAGATCTCCCAGAAATACGGTATGTGAAGTTGGTCTATAACAGTCGATGAATGGCAATCGGTGTTATGGAATCACAATTAACACGCCCCAAAAAGGGCCAATCCTGTTTTTTCATGCCAGTCCCATAACAACTAGTACAGGTTATACACAATGGCGCATGTAGTGCTCAAAACATGACACGCTATGTAATTACCGTCCCATTCTACCATAAAGACTACAAATATTATTCAACAAGATAAATTTAATAACAATATCAATATAAATACAATTAATTCAAAATGACAAGAAATCGGCATTGAATGCAAAGAAACAACTCAAACATAATCAAGTAATGATGAACAGGCAATGTTGGCCCTACCATAGAGATTATCGTCAATGGGCATCGGAAACAAAATGTTATACTGAATAAGTAAGTATGATGGTCTGATGTTTGATTATGTAATTTTTGTTTGTAAGCTGCTGTTCTTTTAATCTGTAAGAAACATGCAACTTACAACTCATATGAATAAGTTCTAGTAGTCAAAATTGGAATTGCAACCTAATGAAAGAAGACCAAACTTTCGTTCCGTTTTTTTTCTGACTTTCGTCATAGAGCCACTTTAGTTAAGGTCTAATGACAGCCCTTTTGAACGTTCGTGAAATTTACCTTTTGACCTAACCGCGTTTTGATAAACACAGCGTCACAAAATGCCAGCGCTGGAGAAGGTAGCAATTTGATTGGTTGAAACAGACTTCATCAATTCAGGTCAAAAGATTAATTTGACTAACGTCCAAGAGGACTGTCGTTAAACCCAAACTGAAGTGGCTATAATGAAAGTTTGGTATAATTTTAATCAGACTGATGGAAGTGATAAATGGAGTTTTTAGATTTTTCGATCAAAATAGAATCTTTTTCTAACAATCAGCAACGATCTGCTCTCGTGGTCATTATATAAAAGCAATTGAAATGTTATTTCATTTTATTTCTGTTCATGAAGGATTCAAGTATGTTATCGATGTCTCCTTCAGTGAGTTAAAATTTAAATGGTAAATGATATTGCGTATTCCTAATGAAGTCGCAGTAGGTAGTCGTATTGTGTTTTCAAGGACACCCTTTTATTTAAAAAAAAACAAATAATAAGCAAATGTTTAAAGTATACTGGTTCTAAAGAAAAAGCAGTAACATTCACTGTATGGGAGTTTATTACAGTCGCGAAAGAATGTTGCATTTCCGTCCTGTTTAAATAATTAATTATTTTGAGTCCACTGTAAAGGTATATCGATTTACCATCCCAACCATGCTCTTCCAGCTAGTGCAACATCAGTTGCATATGGTTGCGAATAGGAATTGCGGTCGTAAGTTTCGAACGTAACTCGCATATTTTCTGAACTCATGGCCATGTTCATTATTCGCAACCATATTCAACCGATAATCGCTATTATGTGAGGGCACTTTTAAATCCTATTCAAATGAGGTAGCCGAACCTGAAACCTGAAGTCGGTATGCTCTTATCTAATTGGTAACTAATAAAAGGTCAGATTGAAAATTGAAATTATGGTGGTAATTGGTTGTAGGCATTGAGCCGCTGGGTTTTATATCACCTGCATCATTTTCTAGTTCCAATGCTGTTCAATCAGTTAAAATAGAAGATGAAATTTTGAGCAAAAGATGGTAGAGGAATACAAATGATCAGTTGACACAATATTTTCTCGTGTACATACATTACGACAAGATAGTTCACTGTGTCGCAATTCGAGATCTTCAACTAGAACACGAAGATACCTTCGATACTATCATCAGGAATCGATGCGCTGTGTTGACATCATCCTAATCATACACAATTAACTTCCACAACTCCGGTCAATCAAATTGATGGCCAAGTCTGAACTCGGGATCTGATAACTACCACATTTGCAATTGTGGCACAAACCATGAAAGCGGAAACACAGTATTATTAATAATATGTTAGTGGCATGAAATAGGTTAATTCTAATGTCAAATTCACTTACACTGTATGTCAATAATAATTGTGTGAAACGCTTTGAAGACTTGCTAAAACGCGTTGTTTCTAGTCAATTTTCTTGTGTTTTCGCGAATAACAATCTCACTAGAATAGAAATGAGGGTCAGTTATTACGGACTGAGCTTAGGTGGCTGAACGTGATCTCATATTCTAAGAAAGGGTACTTGCCACATAACAATGGCGTATAATCCAAGGCATTAAACTCCCAAAAGGAACGAACACAGTTTGTATTATATATACCACGTCCCCAAGATTTATCGTCTTTCGTCATATTACAATTTAGCAAAAGTTCTATTCCAACCAACTGCACTTTTACATGATTATGTCGCAGTAAACGCACTTTTACTGAATCTAGACAAAAAAGGTCATTTGTGCATTGCTTGTGGAATTATAGTTATTATCACCACTAGTCATAGAGCACTAACATCTTCGTCTTTTGGAGGAGATACGTTCACGGCAACTGCCTGATGTTGGTCCATTTGTATATCACAGCCACCCTTACCACAGTCCTTCTCTAGTCAGTCTTGTGACCGAGACCGTGACTGAGAATGTGAATGGTTAATAATTAAATTTTTATTTTTTAATAATGGAGTGGGATACTGTCTTGTGCAGCTTTCATCGTCATGTGCGCCACATACTAAAGGTCCAAATACCAACTCCTTGGTATGTTTTAGAAATCGACGACTTGTAGCACAGTATATAAACACATTACAGGAGTGATGAGACATACACACTTCACGGATCACAATCCTTGCCGAATAATAGGCAAAATATGTTCTCCACGCAGCGTTTGATGCCATTTGTGATACGGGCATGGCTGGTCCAAGACTCATGCTATTTTGTATAGCGAAAGTTATTGTTACTGGTAACGTTGTGACTATCAAATAAAACGAAACCCAAAGTAAAGTAATCGTTGTTGTAACGAGATTATATTTTAAGTGACTTGTCCGCGACTCACTGAAATTCAGCTTCCCAACTGTTTTTATTTTGAGCAAAACACATATATTGAGCGATAACACTAATAGTGGAATGATTCCGAATACGACCATTTCAGATCCCCAAGTGTAAATGTTGTAAAACGAATTCTCACCTGCCATCAGCTCTGAATAGCGAACAAAACATTCTTTATCTGACGCTGATACTTCCCAAAAGTACGCTTGAGGAAGACCGAATAACACAGCCGCAATGGAGAGTAAAATAATAACTTTAGGAGATCGTGATTTACGACTGAAACGTTCTGATTTAAAAGGATAACACACGGATAAAAACCGTTCCACAGTGAAGGCAAGAACTAGTAACACACACATATAATCCACGGACATGTACAGCACGTTCCATAACTCACACCAAACAGGTAAATCCAATGTGCCGATATTCCACGGATTTTCCAATTCATTAAAGACGTGAAGGCTGAGATAAATAAAGTCGGCTATGGCTAATCCAGCAAGGTAGTTAGCAGACATATTACAGGCTTTCATTCTAGGATGAAGCCAGATGCGAGCAGAGATGATGTTCCCAATGCCGCCAATAATATACCAGATCGGAGTCACACATTTATGAATGGCTATAGCAAACGGAATGTTATATTCCATAACTGTGATAAAGTTTTCATTGTTGGTGATATTGGTGATAGGCTCTGGGGGAGCTTCATCGTAAATCACCGACTCGTTCATCTCCTGAAAGACATGAAAATGATATTCAATTAATATTAATTTCATTATTTACTAAGCAATATCCAACATTGTACTCGTGTAATTACTATTCTATAGCTGATATTCCAAATCACTTAAAAATAATCGATCAAAGGACAAAAAGAAATAAAATAGATAAGCTTTATAGATCTTACCAATTGACTTGTGTTGTGTAGTCAGAGGGTAAAATATAACCTTAAAGCTGTGCTCAGTAAAATTGTTTTATAGAAATCTACATGTACGAATAACAAAAATTTATAATTTCTATTCATTTCATGTTATTGACAGTGTTAATGTAAGTCTTTGTTCAATAATCTGACTCATACATTTATGTGTTAATATTCTTTATTTGAAAGCTCTTTTTTAAAAATTGTCAAAATCATTTGACTATGTGGACTGGTCTTTCGATTGATTTTTGAAAACACTCCACTCATTGCGCCTATATAGCATTGTCCGTCACATGAATCTCGTGCGATATAAAGGAGTAGAACATTCGAATACATTAAATAATCCTGCAATAGTCTGTCATAAACAGATAAAAACTCTGATTTTATACCAGTTAATCACTCAGTGTAAACATTACAAGATTTATTGCCAATTACACTGAGAAAACCTACGCAATTTCAAGGTAAAAGGAGGAAGTTTGTGGCTACACTTGTTAAAAAGAGAGACAATGTAATAATTCTGTTTTAGTTCAATATCGCTAAATGTCTTCCGGAAGTTCTTCAAATGTTCCGGAAAGTCCCGAGGATTGATTTTTTTGAGGATTGAATTGGAACAATTTTGTTATTCCGGAAGCTGCACATAGGAAAATGTTTAAAAAAAAGTAGAAAATTGTCTCTAAAACTGATTTTGATTTATAGCTAGAATTGGTTTAATTATTTCATTTGTATACATGTAGTTAGATGTAAGGTTAAAAATTTGGAATTTAATGAAATGCCTCACGATGCAATTTGTGCTCTAAAAATTTAGATCTAAATTCACTGATTTCAATTGTATTAAGCTAATGAGTTGATTTTGACTTATACAAAGAATCTTCCTGGTTACGAAATGTTGTATTGAAAGAACCAGAACCACGAATAATTACCAAAGCGATCGATACGAACTATCGAGATTTTATTTCTATGAAGTGTCAATTTCAAATCAAGTTTAAATTTTAGTCTAGTCAATTCAAACAATTTTTCTCAATTTCTATCATTTCGCATCCAAGTGACTTGTCCGATTTTACGAGAGACAGGTTTAACGATGTTACGAGTATTAAAGACTGTCAATACAGCTAAAATCATCGTCTTATTAAGAAAAGAAATTTGAGTGAGCACTTATTTCTTTCTAATAGCCTATCAACTTTCATTGACTTACTTTTAGGGACTTCGGACCAATAGCTTATGTGGGCGTATGAGGGCACTTGGCAATAGAAACTGTTTTCTTCCTACTTTAGAACAGCCCTAGTCTAAATCAGGACTTGGGTTCTGTGGAGCGTGATAACATTAGTATACAATACGTCTCATTAAAACGAGTGGTTCTGCAAATGAGCATGCTCGTTTGGTGAAAAAATCAAACCATACACGTCTCCCGTGTAATAATATCATCTTTATTCATTAAAATTCGCATAGACTATTGTTTATACTGCATCAGGACAAAAATGAATTTTCAACACTATTGCTAAATCAATCAATCATACGGAAAAAACATGGATCTATAAAATACCAATTACCCCCGTCAATGGAAATCAGTAGGAGCACACAGAATAAGGAACGAGTGGAAACGAGAAAACCAGGAAGAAAGCACTCATTTTCTATGAATTAGCAAAGATCAATTGTTTTGACGTGACATTTCACCACGATTGCTCAGAAGATAACACAAATTACGCTACAAGGCAATTTGTGTCCGTTTAACTTTATAAATGAACATCACTATTTCCTCAAATTAACTTTTTGTGAAAGGTTTCTTTCCAATAATCGGTAGTTATAGAAAAAAAATGTTCCATTGATTAGTCAATTTACTTTTAGTATTGAGGCTAGAAACCATTCTGTATGGCTTCAGTAGATTTTTTTTTTTAAATTGAAGATCGACACTGGGATTACCATCCATATTCATTAAAAAAAAGCATATCCGGTATTTTTATAAATACTCACGACAATTCCTTCATAATATTTTACAGGGATGTCCTCGGATTGAAAGGGGGTATATTATGGGTGCATATAGTTTCATAGTTCACTTTTAGTTGACTTCATAAAAAGCAATAATTTTCTTGTGCATAACGTTTTAAACATCTAATGAAATTGCCAATATGTCACGCGTTTAAGAACTTTGCAGCAGTCATGCAATGAAGGATATATTTTTTATACATCGACTTGGAAACTAAAGGATTGTTCTTTATCGTGTTTAAGATAATTTTATTAAGCACCTACTAGTTAATCACATCGAAGCGAGAACAAACTCTCCTTTTTTAAAGGAAGTTTTCTCTTAAATTACATTTTTTGCTCCTGTCGGTAATAATGTATAATGAGCAAACGTCTAATTTGTTTTGCAATTTTCATTTCAAACTAAACCTTAGCTTAATCAATCACGCTCCATGAAAGCCGGAAATTCATCTATCTTCGAATATTGGCAGAACATTTTGAAAACAACATCAGATAAAAGCCAAAAAAACGTATGTTCTGTTTTCAAATATAAAAAAGTAAAGACGTGTATGTTTTCTTTTACACTTACACATTTTCTCAATATCATTGGCATCATTAAGCAAATAAGAGCTTCCTTTCAAATTAGATAAATCTGATAAGGAGTTCCCCCATGTACGGCTTGCACGTGCCTGATAGGATAGTAAAGCTATTGGGACTCATTCGTGTCTACCCATAATGATTTCCCCAGCCCGGACTGATTTATGGATTACGGTTTTCATAGAGATTCGCTATTTCTTCTTCTTATTTTTGAATTATCAACATTATTTATATTGCTGGCGACGTTGAAAAAAAAAATTTGTAGAAGCGGAAAAGAGCCACAGGATAAAAACATTTCTATTCCAGGTCTGAAAAATGTTTCCGCAAGCAAGACAATTAGCTTCTGAGATGAATTATTAAAATCTCAGGTTATGTTTTCCTGCTTAAAATCAGTGCATTTTCACAGGAAACAATAAATAATGGTAGTTAGTTATCTTGAATTAGATAATCTTATAAACGAGGCTCACATTAATAAGCTGATGGTTTTTAAAGAATAGACACAACCACAGTGGTGAAGCCAGGTTTCCGTCCGAGGGTAGGGGTGATTTATCTGGGATTGCCCGAATTTCTAACCTAATTATGAGATTTTTGCCCCAAAACTTGCTTTCAGGGCTGCGGGGTGGGGGGGGGGGGGGGGGGGGCACAACTCTATGAGTCCAACTGGTATAACAATGTGGGTCAGGTCATGTGGGCAAAATTAACGATTGACATCGAGGAGCCGTGTTCTACATAACTTAACTCAAATGAAAATCCAGTCCTTAAGAATATATAAATCTGATTGGATGACGAAACTAAATTTAGATTCAATTTTAGTGGCCGACCAATCAGATGATTGGGACACTAGAATCATCTGAAGATAAGTTTTCGAAAATACGGCCCCAGATCATTTCACGGACGTCAGAAAATCAAAATATTGTCAAAGATAACAACCACTTCGCGATGTTTGTTTGAAACATTGTTAAAACCAGAAAGATATTGACGAGTTTAAATTTGTTACTTTGCAACACATTTCTTTATTGCCTTTTTGAAGTTTCCTCATTGTTGGATGACTGATTTGTAATAACAGTCTCCGAACACGAAAGGATGAAACCTGTTAAACACGACATAATCAGTTAATCCATTGATAAAATCGTTATTTACAGCATGTATATCCCCCGCTCCTTACAAATGATGTTTTATTTCAACTTTCATAATATACCTAAGTTATTATCTATATATTAATTATTAAAATAAACTTTATTTATGTTCTAAGCTTGTGAATTATAAATCCATTAGGAAGCGAAGAAGTTAAACTTAATAAAAATGTAAACAGATTAAGTAAGAACTTAATATAGTCTCAAAGGAACTATGATCATTACATATTTACCACATTAGTTTCGAAATTTGAAAACGTTAAACGTTTGTTTTCGTGTCGTCGAGAAAAAGTTCAAAATAAAAGGAATCAATAATTTTGTCTAGACTAAAAGAAATTTGCGTTGCCTCATTAATAATCTATTAATTAATTATTTAATAAGACCTTTATTTTAAAATTACCAACTGTTCGGAGATGCTCAATTTACACGACCTGTAACACAAAAATCAGTCATGACATACTCTCGGAGAGTTTTGGGACATTATCTTCTTAATAACATCGCAATAAGTCTCTATTATTAACGACTTAAAACCTAATGTACTAAATAGACATTAAGTAACAGCTGAAAATTCCAATCCGTCATTGTTTCAGACAAAACTATTTAAGGCTTTTTCTGAGCCATTTCTGTCAATATCACTAAATGGTTTCTATCTAGTTCTTTTTAAAAATACATTTGAGGTATAGTTTTGTTGCCTTAACTTCATTTTATCTAGTGTATCGCCCATCGCAGTTCAGATGCTTCAGTTGCGCTGTAGATCATACCGTTGCGTGGGATGCTTCCAACTTGATAAAACCAAGGCTTCTTCAGCAAGATTTAATCCCGTTACAAATGCATGACTAAAAAAAGATTGCTTGTTATTGAATCTCATTGCTTGGTAACGATGTGATCTTTTTATGAGAAAAAAACGTGTCTGCAAATAATTTCCAAGTACAGGAAATACAGATCGCAAATACCAGAACAACAACAAGCGTTTTATATTATACAGCGACCCTTGTTCGGGATCGGTGTTTCGGATTACCGGTAATGGTCGTGAATGATGATCCGAATGACTCGCTTGCACGTTACTCGGTTGTCCAAGACGACGGAACTGCACGACCACCTGCTCGAATCTGACACATCGTCAGTTGTCATCGCCATGATGTCATCGTTCATGTCCAAACAATTAATATTTTAGAAACATCAAGTCGTTTTTCATCGCACCCCAAACAACCCTGGATCATGATAGATATTAACAGTATGATCTGGATAAACAAATCCATCTTTATCCCATCCATCAAGTCAGCTATATATCAATGTTCCCTTTGATATCCAATGCTAAGGTCCCAAGTGGTTGTTCTTGTAGTACAGGGATCGATTCAAGGTCAGGTAAATTTATCAAACATGTTTGTTTTCCTCCTTGTTTTCTCCCTTATCTTCTAGAACAACTAAGTATCGACTTGCCAGAGATTAGAGGTAATTAGCCATGGGAAATCAGTCAGTCCAGTGAACTTCGGTAATTAAGACAATGATCAATTCTAGTCGACATTTTAATGCTGGGTTTGACGATAAACAAAACGCCTTATGATACCCAAATCGCGTTTTCAAGCCCGAATAAAGACATCGGAAGTAAGAGTGTAATTACTGTTTGATATGGTAATTTGCTGAGATAAAACGTTTTTATCAATCTCCGCTGATTCCCATCGACAGCATTCTCATTCTCAATTCCGAGTCTTTTGTTGTTACCGTATTGTCATTAATCACTGCTTGATCTCGCTTGTCACACTATTGGATAAATCCATAGAAAATCAGCAAGGGTCTTGTTAGGTCGTGTTATTTCCTCCGATTCATCATTTTGCCAGAAAATGATTTACATTGACCTTAAATTCGTGTCTTTTACACCACAGTCTATACGCCAATGACTGATAGTCACAGTAGTCTACAGATTCTAGACTTGTCAAAGTCTTGGTAACAGGTTTCCGAATTTCCAAATTTAAGTGAGAAAATACCTTAGCGATCTGTATTTAATTTAAGTTTGTGAATCTATGCCAGACACTGTCGGTTCCAGGCAATGCCCCCTCGACCTATATCGTCACTGCAACTAACCACTAGGTTGCCCCTCCATATGTATTAATTGCCCCGCCCCCTTCCCATAAAGAACAATAAAGTTTAGCTACTGGCCCTGTGAGCTCCATTACTTTAATCACCTAATAACTATATCAATGATACACTTAAAATCTATTTTGAAAGCATGTTTTCATTTTTTTCCGTTCTTATGACATTGGTATCTCACAATTAGTTTGAGTAGATGGTGATCTAAGTACTTCCATTTGCAAAATTGGCATTTATCAGTCGCTGTTGAAGGTTCAAATATAGCAAAGAGGCTGCTTATCTCTTTGGTGGTAAGAAATTTGCAAAGTGGTCGGCATGATGCCAAAAAGGGGCCACAAAGAAGATCGCTGGTTTTATCACAAATTATCATTACTAACTTGAAGTCGATATTCACACAGAGTGAACCTTTCTGTCCTTAATTTACGATGTCCTGACAGTATTAGGGCGTTCTATGGTCTCCATTGTCAATGAATACGTAAGAGAAACCCGTAAAAAAAAGAAAAACCGTACTAGGTGAATTTTATACCTGATACGTACAGTATATACAACATTCTGCTATTATGCAACACGAGACTGTAAAATTGAGTGGGAAAACATTTATTAGAGTCAAATCTTGAAACAGCTCAATCGGTACTAAGGTGAATATTCTTCCTTTATCGTCACTGTCGGCTATACCCTTTTACATCTGATTGCTATGTCAAAGTCAATCGAAATCCAGGTAGGTACTTACTGGCCTATTGGGGGAGGGGGAGATGGTCTTGTTTGCCCGCAAATTTTAAATGATTATTGCGCCCATTGCCTCTTACGCCTATGCATCTTATGACAATAAGTATATTAGTTTAGAAAGTGTATGTGTTTATGTGTCAATGTAGGTAATTTCCCAAGGTACTTAATTTGCTTTTAAAAGCCGCCCACAGATAAATCATGGAGTGGAGTAATCGAAGTAAGAAATAGTTTAATATGTCAGTGGAAATGTCATTGCCCGGTCGGGTGTCGCCATGTCCAGATTATAACAGAGTTATAAAATACTTAACTGAATCGATGTTATTGAAAAGAGAATACATCCCCAGTCCGTTGTTTGTCTTATATTTCGCTTTGAGGCTTACATTATCTATCTTCCTCTGTTAATAACTTTTCATCAAGGAACTCGTTTAATATATCTCAGCTTGTTGTTTGATGTTTGTTCATCACTTACAAAACATTTGATCCCTCGTTAGAAAAATATTGAACTTAATTGGCTCAATAAGGTGTAAAAGAAAACCAGTAGAACAAAGACATTATTTATGTCATATCGAATGCACGTTGAATCAACTTGAAGCACTAACAGCAATGTCACTGTAACTGTCTGTACTAACTGACGTATGTTAACTCGATGATATGAAATTGACCAATTACCCAAGTTGGTTTCTTCTTGCTTTTTATTATTGAGAGAAGCCAATTCGCTGCATTGTCTGTAATGTTATTCTCTGAAACATCTCTTTCCGCTGATGGACCCAATTAAATGTCTTTCGTCGAATAATGAGTGGGATTGAATTGTTGTTTTTTAAGATAACAACTATAAAATGTTAATCCTACTTAAACTGGTGAAAAACCTATAATATTATCGCAGAGAATTTTCATTGTTTATGTCATGAACCTCAGACAAAGTCAATAAAACTGTGCTGAAGCATTATAGTTGTAGGGAGATTTGGTCTTAAATCTGTGCTGATTATCTATTTGTTTAATTTAAGTACGTCGTATAAAAGAGACTTCAGTTGAAATTCTAAAGGCTTTTCTTTCCAATATCAGATTGAAA